GCATGCGCGAACATACTTTCGCACAAACTGATACTGGCGGGGCCAGTAAAAGTCTCGACTTACCGTGAGATATGTTTTCTCTCGGCCACGATGTCCTCCTATAGGAGCATCGTGATACTCGAACATGATCCGCAAACGCAGATCAGTATCATCTGGAATGACAACACGTGGTGTGTCACCAGAAACGGCTGTATAGTACAGTAAACCGTTACGAGTAGTGTATCGATCTGATGCAGATCGATACGCGGACGACAATCGTTTCAACGATTCTCGAGATGGTTGGGAGAGATGTGACAACAACTTCACTATCTCACCATCTTGGGCGTATGCCCGCCTCACATCATCATACAACGTTGTAGATGGAACTGAGGACGTCATAACCGCAACAGTGACTGTCTCACTGTTGGGTTTCGCGACTGTTTCAAAGTCGGGACGACGTGAGAGTGCATCCGCGACGACATTAAGTCGTCCTGGTTTGTACTCGACCGTAAAGTTGTATTCCGCAAAGAATGACAACCACCGTGCCATTCGTTGTGAAAGGTGCGGGCTGTTCACTGCCGTGCGTAATGACGCATGGTCAGTGTAAACAATGAAGGGTCTATCTCCTAATAGATCGACTCTGAACTTCGCGAGTGCATACTTCATGGCAAGGAGTTCCTTGTCATGCACTGGATAGTTCCGCTCAGCTGGTTGCAGCTGACGCGACTGATAGCAGACGACGCGTTCAACGCCTTCAAGGTCGTACTGCATTAATGCACAGCCAATTGCGAAATCGCTGGCATCACAGACCACATGAAATGGCCTGTCCTGATCGGCTATTGCTAGGACTGGGGATTGTATCAAGCAGAGCTTGATACCATCAAAAGAGCACTGACATTCAGCGTTCCATAACCATCTCTCGTTCTTTTTCAACAAACGAGAGAGGTGCACAGTCATCTCGGCGTAATTGCGTGAATGCTTATGCAAATACGCCGCTAGCCCAAGAAATTTTCGAAGACCTTTGACATCAACCGGCACAGGCCAGCCGGTGATCGCCTTGATCTTTTCGGGATCAGGACGTACACCGTTCTTACCAACGATGCACCCAAGAAGTGGTATTTCGCTTGCAGCAAATATACACTTCTTGAGATTAGCATACAATTGATGCTTTCGCATGATTGTAAGAACCTGTCGGACGTGGTACCTGTGAACCTCAACGTCCGACTTTCCATCCATAGCTCGACTATGGATGAATACGTCATCGAAATAACTCGGCGCGAATTCTCGTACTGGTCTCAACAGATGTGATACACATCTTTTGAACGTGGCAGGGGCATTACTAAGCCCTTGTGGCATTACTAGCCATTCCCAGAGCATGCCGCTAGGCGTGCTAACTGCGGTATAGGGTATATCCCGTTCCCGCATAAGGATCTGATAGAAGCCATCCATCAAATCCATGGACGAAAATATGGTACTCTTTGACATGCCATCAATGATTACGTCCTTCCTCGGTATCGGCGTCTGAGCCGGTACCGTTGCAGCGTTCAATTTGTTGAACGCGTGCACTATCCGCCACCCTCCTGTTGCTTTTCGCACACAGAAGGTCGGAGAGCTATGTGGGGAAGTTGATTCCCTCACATGGCCCGCAGCTAAACGATCGGCAAAGAACTTGTCGATCGCAAGTACTTGTTCACGAGGCAGTGGCCACTGCTTCATGACACAGTACTTCGAGCCTGGTTTAAGCTCGACCTCGTGTCGAATACCTTTATCCTTCGGTAATTCGCACGGAACAGTTTCAGGGAATACATTCTTGAATTCAACCAAATCTTCATAGAGAGGATTTTCCTTGAGCGATTCCCATGATTGGGACTCATATCGCTCAATTCGTGTCTTTTCATCTAGGACACTCTCGTCCATAGATGAACTACTGAGAACTCTCTCGTTCTCAGTAAACACTGTTGCTGACCTTATGTCGGTTACATACTCGTCTTCAGCGACGAGTATGCAGATCTGCTTGACTTTGCCACTACGCAGATCACGCAAGAACCTTTTATGTTCGAGCGTTGGCAACTGAGTGATCTCCGAAGTTAACTTCGGAGGCGCAATCAGATCAAGTGTATAAGCGCCTACACATGATCCGTTATTGACTATGACATTCAATGTCTCTGTCATTTCCTGGGGACTTATTCCCTCAGGCTTCGAAGGACTTATTCCTTCGTCTTCCCGGGGACTTATTCCCGCGGGTTTCGGGGAACTTATTTCCGCCGTATTTGTAATCTTGGGACTTATTCCCTTTACTTCCTCTAGCTGGGGTTGCGCAACCACAGCGAGATCCTCTACGAAAGACTCTCCAGTCGATCTAGGATTATCGTTTCGCTTAACCTGAGCGATCGATTGTTTCTCTTCTAGATGTTCCCCTCTAGGGATACATCTTTGTCCCAGTCCACCCGACTTATTCGAGTGGTGGACCTTCGGCGCAGCCTGTGTTTCCTCACAGCCGCCGGAACTTTGCTCGAAGTGTAACCGTTTGGTACACTAAGGTTTTATGCAGTCGTACTAACGACCGTACCACAAGTGAGGCCATCGCACTCACTCGTAGTACATCCACACGCTTGTGGACTCTCCAAAACGTTCATCAGATGGCCATCTGATGAACAAGCGGCAGGCATCGTTACTGTCCGATGTTGCCAGTTTACCCGTGGTTCGTACCTTCTGAGCCACGGTATTCCAAGGATGACATCAAATTTGTCATCCAAATCCAATACGTCAAAGTCATCGTCGTATTGGGTATCTTCTAGCGTATAGTGAATCTTCACTATACGCTTCATGATTGGTTACGGATGCGCCTGTCGCAAGGCGTACCGTCATCCTCGTAGGAGGTGTGTCACATTCACTGAATTTAAAGTGACCATCTTCTAGCGATTGGCGTCGCACAAAATTGTTGGACGCCCCACAATCGACTAGAGCTCGAAGGGACAACTTATTCGTCACTTCGAGTTTCAAGGTAATGAGTGAGATCTCATTACCTAGAGCAGCAACGCACAATGTCTGTGTGTTGGGAGCAACCTTCATCAAGAGGCCTACAAATTCTCTTGACGTTGCTGGATCAGTAGGGTGCTCCGCACCTACTGATCCCTGTCCGTTTTTTGACGGTCCATCCCGTTGTTGCGTCTTTGCACCAACTGCGGACCCTCGTCCCTGCCCCTTTCTCATGGGTGGACGGTCACTACGCCCAGTGTCGCGAGACACTGGACGAGGGGCACTACACTCGTAAGCGTAGTGTCCTGTCTTTTGACATCTGTTGCATCTCTGCAACTTCTTGTAGCCTGTAGAGCGAGCCTTCTCGCTCTCTACATAACATAGTTCCATCGGCTCTGGACCTCCGTTGTCATATCGTCTCGGTTGACGATATGATGTCGAGCTGGCGCGAGCCTGTCTCAGACTGAAGTCTTCCTGCTCCGCAATTGAAATGGCTTGTTCTAGTGAATCTAGTTCAAGCCGGAACAGGTGAGTCTTGACGGGACCATCCGCAAGACCCTGCATGAACACCGAAACCAACGTGTGTTCATCCACCGGATTGGAACTTATACAACTCGTGAGATGTCGTATATGTTGAGCGTAAGCGTGCACATCACGCTTACCCTGCTTGAGCTTCAAGAGTTCGGTTCGAGCTCTGAACTCAGCTCTAGGCGGTTCAAACGTTTGTCTGAACCGCGACTTGAAGACTTCCAACGACCCAAACGCGTATGGGTCGTGCAGCTTGAGCCCCAGTGCCCAAGTCTTGGCACGTCCTGCCAGATTTGACTGGGCAAATGCAACTTGCATATCCCCGTCGTCGATGCGACGAGCCTTTATGGCGTCATCCAATTCGACGAACCATCTCAAGAGGGAGTCCTCTTCGACCCCCCTATACTTTGAGATGTCAATCTTCAAAGTCTCGGGCCGACGCGAGTGCATCGACCCGCCAGCAGCAGCCTGCTGCTGTCTCAACAGTTCAAACTGTTGAGCACCTTGTTCTCTCAACAACTCTGCTTGTTGAGAACCTTGTTGGTGAAGCAAGGCTACTTTCTCGCGTTCTGCGTCAAGTTCATTTTGAATGAACTTGGCGATAGTAGCATGTTGGGCATCTCTATTGAGAGCCTCTAGCATGACGCTAACAGCATGGATGCCCATGGTCGAACCCATTCGTTCAACCGCATCCCATTCGACATCGCTCAAATGGGAGTAGCCGTCACGCGTAGCGTGAAAGCTTTGGTCATCTTCATCATCCAACATATTCATGTTGGATGTGAACGCGGTCCTTGGACGGACTACGAAGTGCTACCAGGTGTAACGGGGCACCCTGAAGCTTGTACTGGTGACAGTACAAGCTACTTATTCTGATGACAGAATAAGGCGGTGCCTCGTAACTTCACGTACACTCGTACGTGCAGAGGAAGACGGTAAGAAGAAGCGAGTACTTGGTTAGAGTAAAAAGTAGAACTGTATTTATAATAGTTAATGTCTGCAATAAATCACTATTTATCTTCATCTAACTATGTCTAAATACAAATGTGTAAATCAGTTATCTGCTCACCACTCATTGCGTGCGTCTGTCGTGGCGCGTCTTCGTTGGTTGATATAATGGCCTATATCAACCAATTAGGAACTACTTGGAAGTGCTACAGAATATTGTCCTTATGACAATATTCTGAGAATATAACTCTTATAGTTATATTCTATTAACAATTTCTTATAAATTGTTATGTAACGATTCACCCCGTTACATCACGAGAAAAGGTTCCTAAACCTTTTAGAAGATCCTAAGAAGATCGAAGGGTGTTCATTGGTCCAGATAAATCAATGGGACTGATATAGTTTGTCTAAGTATATGACATGAGTGGATTAGAGGTAGCGAAGCAAGTTTGCGAACTAAGGACCATAAATATATTCGCTTCACAATTTGCCTTCACCTACCCACAAGAAAATTAACAAATTAGCAGTCGCAGAGAGCTTCAAGACCACCAGTCGCCACGACCACCATGACAAGCAAGCGATGTGAGGTCCTCCTGGGTAGTGAAAACTTCTACCACCGGGAGTATCACATGCGCATGACGTTGGCGCGCAAGGGGCTGCTCGTGCACGTCCAAGTCATCAAGAAAGAGGAAGAGATGACTGAAGCCTGGCTGGAAAAGGCGCTAAGGCATTGGGCATCATCTATCAAGGCATAGAGCTTTGACACCAGACCAAGATACGATCGGCAACAAAAGCTTTGCACGCGCGGTAATCTTGCGGAACTTCTACAACTGCGGCACGCTCCACAATCATGTCGAGATGACCCGTTGTCGACATGAGTTTAAGATGGAGAATGGTTCGGCCATGTCGAAGCGGTTGGATGCTTTTGACGAACTTGTTGTCGTCCTTCAGACATTTGAAACGCCGTTCGATGACTCTCGGCAGCGAGGAAAGCTGCTTAGCAGTCTACCGACGGAGTATGAGCTCATCTTGTCAATTGTGGAGAATTCTAAGGACATCACACTCATTAATGTCAAGGAAGAACTGCTAAAGGAGGGTGAACAATCGCAAAGGAATGAGACGACGGAGACGGTGTTTCCGGTAGGCAGAAACGGTAGACGGTTCAAGGGAGGCCTAGGAAGCGGCCGCAAGGGAAACTATCTACGAAAAAAACCACGCTGGAATCAAAGGCATGTGCTTTAAGTGTCGCCAAGTCGAAAATTACAAGCGGGACTGACTGAAGAGTAGCAATGCCGAGAAAGAAGGTGCTGTTTTTGCTGCTGGTGAGTTGCGATGCGAAGAATGGCTCATCGACGGTGGGGCTACATCGCCCATGACACCACATCGAAGCGATACATTTGAGAACAAGGAGTTAAAGACTGGTCAACAAGTCTCTATCGCGGATGGCAAACGCTGAAGGTAGCTGGAGTGGGAACAATAAAGCTAATAGGTCTGAACGGCCTACGGATCAAGATGGTCGAGGTCCTGTACATACCAGGATAGACGATTGTTGTCAGTTGGCAAGCTGGCGAAACGAGGCATGAGAATGGAGTTTTAAAGCTCATCCTGCATCATTTGGAGAGCCAAGCGCGCGATTGCAAGCCGCAAGAAGGTTGGCAAGGCGTACTTTCTGAATTGCGAGCAAGAAGAAGCCCGGCTTGTGGAATTCGCAGGGACTGAAAGTGATTGGGAGCTTTGACACGCTCGCTTGGGACACCCGGAACGGCTGTTACGGACAAGACACAGCGCGCTACGAGCGGTATGCCGGCGGTAGAGCAGCACGTCGAGAAGTTGTGTAACTAGGTGAATCGTTACATAACAATTTATAAGAAATTGTTAATAGAATATAACTATAAGAGTTATATTCTCAGAATATTGTCATAAGGACAAATATCTTGTAGCACTTACGAATAGCTCCTAATTGGTTGATATAGGCCATTATATCAACCAACGAAGACGCGCCACGACAGACGCACGCAATGAGTGGTGAGCAGATAATTGATATACATATTTGTATTCAGACATAGTTAGATGAAGATAAATATTGATTTATTGCAGACATTAACTATACTAAATACAGTTGTACTTTTTACTTTAACCAAGTACTCGCTTCTTCTTACCGTCTTCCCCTGCACGTACGAGTGTACGTGAAGTTACGAGGCACCGCCTTATTCTGTCATCAGAATAAGTAGCTTGTACTGTCACCAGTACAAGCTTCAGGGTGCCCCGTTACACCTGGTAGCACTTCGTAGTCCGTCCAAGGACCACGTTCACATCCAACATGAATATGTTGGATGATGAAGATGACCAAAGCTTTCACGCTACGCGTGACGGCTTCTCCCATTTGAGCGATGTCGAATGGGATGCGGTTGAACGGATAGGTTCAACCATGGGCATCCATGCTGTTAGCGTCATGCTAGAGGCTCTCAATAGAGATGCCCAACATGCTACTATCGCCAAGTTCATTCAAAATGAACTTGACGCTGAACGCGAGAAAGTAGCCTTGCTTCACCAACAAGGTTCTCAACAAGCAGAGTTGTTGAGAGAACAGGGTGCTCAACAGTTTGAACTTTTGAGACAGCAGCAGGCTGCTGCTGGTGGGTCGATGCACTCGCGTCGACCCGAGACCTTGAAGATTGACATCTCAAAGTATAGGGGGGTCGAAGAGGACTCCCTCTTGAGATGGTTCGTCGAATTGGATGACGCCATAAAGGCGCGTCGCATCGACGATGGGGATATGCAAGTTGCATTTGCCCAGTCAAATCTGGCAGGACGTGCCAAGACTTGGACTTTGGGGCTCAAGTTGCACGACCCATATGTGTTTGGGTCGTTGGAAGTCTTCAAGTCGCGGTTCAGACAAACGTTTGAACCGCCTAGAGCTGAGTTCAGAGCTCGAACCGAACTCTTGAAGCTCAAGCAGGGTAAGCGTGATGTGCACGCTTACGCTCAAAATATACGACATCTCACGAGTTGTATAAGTTCCAATCCGGTGGATGAACACACGTTGGTTTCGGTGTTCATGCAGGGTCTTGCGGATGGTCCCGTCAAGACTCACCTGTTCCGGCTTGAACTAGATTCACTAGAACAAGCCATTTCAATTGCGGAGCAGGAAGACTTCAGTCTGAGACAGGCTCGCGCCAGCTCGACATCATATCGTCAACCGAGACGATATGACAACGGAGGTCCAGAGCCGATGGAACTCTGTTATGTAGAGAGCGAGAAGGCTCGCTCTACAGGCTACAAGAATTTGCAGAGATGCAACAGATGTCAAAAGACAGGACACTACGCTTACGAGTGTAGTGTCCCTCGTCCAGTGTCTCGCGACACTGGGCGTAGTGGCCGCCCACCCATGAGAAAGGGGCAGGGACGAGGGTCCGCAGTTGGTGCAAAGACGCAACAACGGGATGGACCGTCAAAAAACGGACAGGATCAGTAGGTGCGGAGCACCCTAATGGTCTAGCAACGTCAAGAAAATTTGTAGGCTTCTTGATGAAGGTTGCTCCCAACACACAAACGTTGTGCGTTGCTGCTCTAGGTAATGAGGTCTCACTCATTACCTTGAAACTCGAAGTGACGAATAAGTTGTCCCTTTGAGCTTTAGTCGATTGTGGGGCGTCCAACAATTTTGTGCGACGCCAATCGCTAGAAGATGGTCACTTTAAATTCAGTGAATGTGACACACCTCCTACGAGGATGACGGTACGCCTTGCGACAGGCGCATCCGTAACCGTCATGAAGCGTACATTGAAGATCCACTATACACTAGAAGATACCCAATATGATGATGACTTTGACGTATTGGATTTGGATGACAAATTTGATGTCATCCTTGGAATACCGTGGCTCAGAAGGTACGAACCACGGGTAAACTGGCAACATCGAACAGTAACGATGCCTGCCGCTTGTTCATCAGATTGTCATCTGATGAACGTTTTTGGAGCGTCCACAAGCGTGTGGATGTACTACGAGTGAGTGCGATGGCCTCACTTGTGGTACGGTCGTTAGTACGACTGCATAAAACCTTAGTGTACCAAACAATTACACTTCGGAGCAAAGTTCCGGCGGCTGTGAGGAAACACAGGCTGCGCCGAAGGTCCACCACTCGAATAAGTCGGGTGGACTGGGACAAAGATGTATCCCTAGAGGGGAACATCTAGAAGAGAAACAATCGATCGCTCAGGTTAAGCGAAACGATAATCCTAGATCGACTGGAGAGTCTTTCGTAGAGGATCTCGCTGTGGTTGCGCAACCCCAGCTAGAGGAAGTTAAGGGAATAAGTCCCAAGATTACAAATACGGCGGAAATAAGTTCCCCGAAACCCGCGGGAATAAGTCCCTGGGAAGCCGAAGGAATAAGTCCTTCGAAGCCTGAGGGAATAAGTCCCCAGGAAATGACAGAGACATTGAATGTCATAGTCAATAACGGATCAAGTGTAGGCGCTTACTACACTTGATCTGGATTGCGCCTCCGAAGTTAACTTCGGAGATCACTCAGTTGCCAACGCTCGAACATAAAAGGTTCTTGCGTGATCTGCGTAGTGGCAAAGTCAAGCAGATCTGCGTACTCGTCGCTGACTACGAGTGTGTAACCGACATAAGGTCAGCAACAGTGTTTACTGAGAACGAGAGAGTTCTCAGTAGTTCATCTATGGACGAGAGTGTCCTAGATGAAAAGACACGAGTTAAGCGATATGACTCCCAATCATGGGAATCGCTCAAGAAAAATCCTCTCTATGAAGATTTGGTTGAATTCAAGAATGTATTCCCTGAAACTGTTCCGTGCGAATTACCGAAGGATAAAGGTATTCGACACGAGGTCGAGCTTAAACCAGGCTCGAAGTACTGTGTCATGAAGCAGTGGCCACTGCCTCGTGAACAAGTACTTGCGATCGACAAGTTCTTTGCCGATCGTTTAGCTGCGGGCCATGTGAGGGAATCAACTTCCCCACATAGCTCTCCGACCTTCTGTGTGCGAAAAGCAACAGGAGGGTGGCGGATAGTGCACGCGTTCAACAAATTGAACGCTGCAACGGTACCGGCTCAGACGCCGATACCGAGGAAGGACGTAATCATTGATGGCATGTCAAAGAGTACCATATTTTCGTCCATGGATTTGATGGATGGCTTCTATCAGATCCTTATGCGGGAACGGGATATACCCTATACCGCAGTTAGCACGCCTAGCGGCATGCTCTGGGAATGGCTAGTAATGCCACAAGGGCTTAGTAATGCCCCTGCCACGTTCAAAAGATGTGTATCACATCTGTTGAGACCAGTACGAGAATTCGCGCCGAGTTATTTCGATGACGTATTCATCCATAGTCGAGCTATGGATGGAAAGTCGGACGTTGAGGTTCACAGGTACCACGTCCGACAGGTTCTTACAATCATGCGAAAGCATCAATTGTATGCTAATCTCAAGAAGTGTATATTTGCTGCAAGCGAAATACCACTTCTTGGGTGCATCGTTGGTAAGAACGGTGTACGTCCTGATCCCGAAAAGATCAAGGCGATCACCGACTGGCCTGTGCCGGTTGATGTCAAAGGTCTTCGAAAATTTCTTGGGCTAGCGGCGTATTTGCATAAGCATTCACGCAATTACGCCGAGATGACTGTGCACCTCTCTCGTTTGTTGAAAAAGAACGAGAGATGGTTATGGAACGCTGAATGTCAGTGCTCTTTTAGATGGTATCAAGCTCTGCTTGATACAATCCCCAGTCCTAGCAATAGCCGATCAGGACAGGCCATTTCATGTGGTCTGTGATGCCAGCGATTTCGCAATTGGCTGTGCATTAATGCAGTACGATCTTGAAGGCGTTGAACGCGTCGTCTGCTATCAGTCGCGTCAGCTGCAACCAGCTGAGCGGAACTATCCAGTGCATGACAAGGAACTCCTTGCCATGAAGTATGCACTCGCGAAGTTCAGAGTCTATCTATTAGGAGATAGACCCTTCATTGTTTACACTGACCATGCGTCATTACGCACGGCAGTGAACAGCCCGCACCTTTCACAACGAATGGCACGGTGGTTGTCATTCTTTGCGGAATACAACTTTACGGTCGAGTACAAACCAGGACGACTTAATGTCGTCGCGGATGCACTCTCACGTCGTCCCGACTTTGAAACAGTCGCGAAACCCAACAGTGAGACAGTCACTGTTGCGGTTATGACGTCCTCAGTCCCATCTACAACGTTGTATGATGAAGTGAGGCGGGCATACGCCCAAGATGGTGAGATAGTGAAGTTGTTGTCACATCTCTCCCAACCATCTCGAGAATCGTTGAAACGATTGTCGCCTGCGTATCGATCTGCATCAGATCGATACACTACTCGTAACGGGTCGTTGTATAATACAGCCGTTTCTGGTGACACACCAAATGTTGTCATTCCAGATGATACTGATCTGCGTTTGCGGATCATGTTCGAGTATCACGATGCTCCTATAGGAGGACATCGTGGCCGAGAGAAAACATATCTCACGGTAAGTCGAGACTTTTACTGGACCCGCCAGTATCAGTTTGTGCGAAAGTATATTCGCGCATGCGAAGTCTGCCAACGAGTGAAGTCAAGTCCTTCACTGCGTGCACCTTTACAGCCTCTACCGGTTCCGGCTGAGTGCTGGGAATCCATCTCAATGGATTTCGTCTTCGGGTTACCCAAAGACGCACGCTGGAATACGGGTATTCTCGTATTTGTTGACAGATTCAGCAAAATGGTACACCTTGTGGCTGTACCAGAGACAATCACGGCAAGTGGCTGTGCTTGTGTCTTTATCGACACCATCTTCCGACTTCATGGGTTGCCCCGTGAACTCGTATCAGACAGAGATCCACGATTCACTGCTGATTTCTGGCGTTCCGTGTTCAAATCACTCGGAACGCGCTTGAAGATGTCAACATCTGATCATCCAGAGTCAGATGGTCAGACAGAACGTGCCAATCGTGTCCTTGAAGAGATACTTCGAGGATACGTACACCCCTTTAAGAGTTGGAGTGAGTTTTTTGCCAATGGTAGAGTTTGCCATTAACAACTCGGTGCATGCGTCCACGACACATACACCGTTTTACGTGAATGGCTTGCGCCATCCGCGTGTACCCACCTTACTAGAGTGTAACTCTGGTTTAAGGGGGGGAGGGACTCGCGCGAGCAAAAACCGATTTGGTTCACGCTCATCACGCTCTGACGAAGAAGTCATTGCGTTTGATGCCGATATCGATAACATCGATATCGAAGAAGATGATGCCAGCGAGAGTGCGGAAGCCCTCACTGAAGAAGACGATCCCAGTGAGAGTGCGGAAGCCCTCACTGAAGAAAAGGTTGATGTTGCTGCAGTGCGCTCACAGCACACTGAAGCTAACGAGTCATCAGATGAGTTCATACTGGCTCGTGAAACGGTAGTCCGTTTTGTGCAAGACTCCATCGCCGAAGCGATGGATAAGCAAAAGCAAAACGCTGACAAGAATGGAAGGGCAAACACTCTTTTATTTAATAAAGGTGACTTAGTCCTACTGTCTACGGTTAATCTACCAAAACATGTAGTGACTAACTTGGGTAGCAGTAAACTACTACCCAAGTACATTGGCCCATTTCGTGTATTGCACCGCCTAGGCAATGCATACACGATCTAGTTGCCACGTAAGATGCGAACGCATCCCACATTTTACGTTGGTCGGATTAAGCCGTATCATCATTACGCTGTTTCTTCCGATGAAGAACGCCTTTGCGCTTAAGCATCTCACAGAGAGCCTTGTGCTCCCGATGGTGGGCATCGACAAGGGTCTGAAGAGCGGTTATCTCATCCCGAGAACGATCAGCAATCCCACGAGCTACCCTTAGCTCGTCCCGAAGAGATGTCAGAGCTCTCTCGTTCTCAAGCTGAGCAAAGGCAACTCAGCTCGATGCTTCGAGGCAGTGTCCGCCATTTGGAGACGCCTATCCCGCTCATGTTCGAGATCGTCGCGTAACCCTTGCGCTACGCGATCAAAGAAGCTCTCGGGAACACACCGACCCGCATGATCGTGTGGAGAGCGTCTTTCCTCCTCCTCCACCTCCATTAGAGGACTCTCGCGGTGGCCAGCGCTATCTAGTTGAGCAGCTGTTGAACCACCGCGACGTGAACGGACGTCGGACGAGTTATCTGGCGCGGCCATTTCACGTCCTGGGATACTTGGGAGCCCCGCTCCCAACTGATGATTGACGTACTGGGCCTGGTTGAGCAGTACGACGCGGCACATCCTGTGCCGCAGAAGGACCGCCGGAGAAAGTCTTCACGGCACGGTCGTAAAGTAATTTCAAGTTGTCAATCCCTTCGTACATCTCAATAGAGACACGTACGCGCCACCACGGGCTATTAGGGAGGTAAGCCTCCTTAGGTGCTCGTGCAGAGTTGCTCACACAACATGGGCACGAGTCTCCCCAAGAGAGGCAGGGTAATCCCTTCTATCTTGACAGACGATGCAGCTTGTAGCGTGCACCTGTCGGGGTTCGCTTTTCAAACTTATCACGAGCTTTGATAAGTTTGTCGTTCCAACGTCACGACCTACATCCTCAAGGTTATGGATGTAGGCGTTCCACGCTTGAAGTAGTGAGGGACCATCACGCTTGTGATTCCCACTGTACCATCGATGTCTAAAGAAAGCATCGATGAAGAATTCGTTCTCAGCGCGATAGTCTTTCGCACTGGGGTCAAGGTGATGGACCCTTGATGAATCGAACAATCGTGTTCGATAGCGATCACTTGCAGTCGTCGACAAGCGATCCATGACTGACTTTGGAGGCAGCCATGCTTTCTTTTCGGGAGCGAGACGCAACACGCTGCGGTCCCGATCTTCCTGTGGCGTGCCGACAGAAGTACTGGTACCTCGCTGCGAAGTGGTGTCAACAGGAGAACCGACATCACTGTTAGCGCCCGAGTCTCGCGACCTCGAGCGCCTTCGCTTCGGCGATGGTTCATCTGATTCGTCAGATGAAACAAAGATGCTACGACGCAAAGCATCGTCCATGCCACGCTTGGTAGGCGGCTTGGATTCGATCGCCGTCGATACGGATCCGTCTTCCGTATCAGGAGAGTACGAGACACCGAGCTCGTACTCTGTGAAGACATGAGTGTCTTCATGACCAGCGTCTGCATCACCAAGTGACACAGGCTGGGTCGCTTCAGCAACCGATGAGGCATCAGTTGCTGTGGTTTCTGCTTCGGCATCCGCACAGAGACGTGCAGACGCGCTCTCGGCGGCCTTGCTCGCGCATCGCATGGGCTTGTTTACCATGCGATGAGATGTTGGAAAGTGGACGCGGACCAACAAGTGCAAACCCCGTCCCAAATGATTTGGGACGAGTATCCATTTAGTCAATCAGTTACTAAAGTGACTGATGGTTAAGGGGGGGGTGATGTAACGGGGTGAATCGTTACATAACAATTTAAAAGAAATTGTTAATTGAATATAACTATAAGAGTTATATTATCAGAATATTGTCATAAGGACAAATATTCTGTAGCACTTACGAGTAGTTCCTGATTGGTTGATATAGGCCATTATATCAACCAACGAAGACGCGCCACGACAGACGCACGCAATGAGTGGTGAGCAGATAACTGATTTACACATTTGTATTTAGACATAGTTAGATGAAGATAAATAGTGATTTATTGCAGACATTAATTATAATAAATACAGTTGTACTTTTTACTTTAACCAAGTACTCGCTTCTTCTTACCGTCTTCCTCTGCACGTACGAGTGTACGTGAAGTTACGAGGCACCGCCTTATTCTGTCATCAGAATAAGTAGCTTGTACCGTCACCAGTACAAGCTTCAGGGTGCCCCCGTTACAAGTTGTTCAGTGGATACATAAAGGTCAAGCAGAAGTCGATACATTCCCGTCTCAGTCGCTAACAAGGACATCACGTGTGTTAAAATTGGTACACACGGACATGATAAGACCGATGGAGACGGTCTGAAAGGGTGGTGCACGATTCGTATTGACATTCGCAGACGATTACTCAGGATTCGTGACAGCGTACTTGATGAAACAAAAGAGCGAGATGGCCGCAAGACTTAGCGAGTTCAAATCATTTTACGAAAATCGATGGGGCAAGCACTTGAAATGTATACGGTCTAATAACGGGACGGAGTTTGTCAACAAGAGGATTGCCATTTTATGTGACCGTAATGGTATCATGCTCCAGCGGACAGTACCATATAGCCCGCAACAGAACGGCGTTACGGAACGCATGAATCGCACGATCATGGAGAAGGCAAAAAAGCATGCTACTACAAGGGTGTCGGCACGCAGTGGTGGGCAGAGGCGGTTAGTAAGGCTGTGTAGTTGATGAACAGGTCCACAAACTCTGCGGATTCGGAAGTCACACCGTTCTAGGTCGGTTTCAAGATGAAGCCGAGTGTTGAGAATTTGCGTGTGTTTGGATCGCAAGAGTATGTTTACATTGACGACGAAAAGAGGACGAAACTCGAACCAAATAGCTACCGGTGTATGTTCCTCGGGTATGCGGAGAACATCAAATGATACAGGGTGTTTAATCCGGAAAATTGGATGGTTGTCATATCGCGCTCCGTAAAGCCGTACGAGCGGGAAGTAGAAGGCATGTACGACAAGGTGGTACCAGAGAAAGAGCCTGTCGTCAAGCATATTATGGATACTGAAGAAGCAGTGATTTCGGCGGGTAGTCCGTCTGATTGAGGCGAGACGATGGAAGATGTCGAAGAAACGTTTCCTCATGTCGAGATGGACAAGATGGAATCGGCTCCATACAAAACAGGTATCTTCTTACCTCATGTACTCGATCCAGAAACTCAAGAACATAGAGGCGATGAGAAAACGGAATATCAAGTGCGAGACAAGCTTTTTAGGAAAACTGGTTGGTGTTTCATCCGGATATAAATCGTTCAAGACGCTCACGAGACAGAATGCTGCTACTGGAGATTGGGAATAGCAGTGAAGAGACAAGTTAGAAGGTAGCGATGGACCACCTTTTCCAAAGCGTGCAATCATTGATGACGAAGGTCTTTTTCCAGAGGCTGTATTGGCCTAATCTGTATGTGTTGGTGAGGTGGACGACGCTCCATAAAAACAAAGTCAAGCGTTAAGAATCAACGACATTTGCAAGTGGATTTATGCGATGTAAGCGGAGCTCAAGGCGTACGCGGATAACGGGTACTGGACACTTGCACCAAAACGACAAGAAATTTGACCAATCAGTTGCAGTTGGATATTCGCCTAGAAGCGAAACGAGCGCGGACTAGTGGTGCGCTACAAAGCTCGACTTGTCGCAAAGGGGATTAATCAGAAATTCGGTGTCGACTTCGTCGAGAAGTAATCTCCCGTGGCAAACGTGAAATCGATCAGGGTCGTGCTAGCTATGGTGATGACAAAGTGGTATGTGACTGAGCAGCTGGGTGCAGACACGGCGTTCTTGATCAGTGATCTCAAAGAAGAGGTGCACATGGAAGTGCCGAATGGCATAGCTAATGCTGAGCAGATGATGTGCAAGTTGGATAAGGCAAATTGCGGTCTCAAGCAGACTGCAAGTGCGTGGAACAAGACAATCCATGCTGCATTCTTAAAATAGGATTTCGTAGCAGCGGAGCAGGTCAGTCTGTCTATATCAAGAGTCTAGATGACAACTACGCCTATGTGTGTCTCTACGTCGACGACATGATCATCGCCGCCAAAACCAGCAGTGGGATCCAAGAGGTCAAGACAGCACTCAAGAGCTCATTTCGGATGAAGGAGCAAGGCAAGGCTAGATTTTTTCTTGGCATGGAGATCGATCATGACCACAACTGCATTAAGCTGATGATCCGACAGACTCGATACATCTATGATGTTGTCAGCCGTCGAACCCAAGAGGACGCAAAGGCAGTGGTCAACCCATGTGAGTCCGGTATAAAGCTGTTAAAGATGCGATCACCAACGACTGATGTCGAGAGATCAAAAATGCAGTCGAAGCCGTACAGGTCACTGATCGAATATTTGCTCTACATCACGACATGTACGCGCCCAGATGTGATACATATCACCACGCAATTATCATGTTTTTTGGAGAATCCAGGTCAGCAACATTTGGAGACAGGCGCTCATATTCTCCGGTATCTTAAGACGACAAGAGACTACGGGTTAACCTATGACGGCAGCGCTAGAGAAGTTACAGCTACAGCATACACGGACGCGGACTCGGGTAGCCACATCGATGATCGGCGCTCAGTGTCAAGGATAATGGTGATCATCGGTGGCGCACCAGACATATTCAAGTCCAAGCATCAACGCACGGTGGCTCTAAGCTCTGCAGAGGAAGAGTACATGGCTTTATATGTACACAGAAAGTGTTGTAGGTTCGTGCGCTGCTCAAGGATCTAGGTCATGAGCAAGTGGGAGCAACGTGGGTCTGCTAAGGCAATCAAGGAGCAATTGGGCTTGCCAGTAATGCCGGCTACAATGCCAGAACCAAGCACGTTATCATTTGTCACCACTTCATCCGGGAGATTGTGACCCATGACATCATCGTGGTTAAGTACATCTCCACAATGGACCAGTTGGTCGACATGCTGACGAAGGCTCTGGGGACGAAGCGACTGAAATATTCGATACAAGCAAGCAGCACTGGACCCAAGATTACTAAGCTGTAGCGGTGAGTGGGAGCAGAAGATAGCACCGTCTACTGCTTTTTAAGTTCATGGATATGTCTTGAAGAATCGAGAAGGGCTGGCTGAGAAGAATCACAGCCTGACGTCATTGGGAGACGTCACAAGGAGAGCTTCTTAAACCTTCTGAAAGATCTTGAGAAGATCAAAGGGTGTTGATTGGTCTAGATAAACCAGTGAACCTTCTAGAAGATCTTGAGAAGATCGAAGGGTGTTCATTGGTCTAGCTAAATCAGTGGGACTGATATAGTTTGTCTAAGTATAGGAAATGAGTGGCTTAGAGGTAGCGAAGCAAGTTTGCGAACTAAGGACCATAAATATATTCGCTTCACAATTTGCCTTCGCCTGCCCACATCAATTTAATACGTATAATATTTTGGAGCTAATTAGAAGCAGCAGTATGTTCCCAATTTTAATACTATGTTTGTAATCAGTGGTTAGACAAATTTGACAGGATAGCGGATAAATAACGATTCCTTGTTTCGAAGCACATTACATTAGCTTCGTTGACCCAACGACTCCGGGTATACAAATGGCACATCGCCTAGGCTAACTACTGTGTACATAACTACTGTGTACAGCAGCTCAATCAATCTCCTTGTAGGGGGCGACCTGCTTCTTGCTCACGTAGCAAGACAAAATGCACATCGGACTAACTCGTTTCTAACAAAAAAAAGAGCTACGGCCACAACGAGCATGTACAAGCAGCTGACTAACGAATTTGTAGCTACATGTGAGGACTTTTGTCTGCGAACCAAAAAAGGCTGTAAAGTGAATACACAAGTGCTTCAAATCGATGAGAAGGCCACGACGCAGCTTGGCTTCATCCGCAAATTTGACTTTGGTGCAAATAGTGCGTGGGTGGATTTGAATGAGATAAACACTGTGATTGTACTGTTCAAGCCAAACATCGTTTGCTATTGGAATTAACTTTAGACGAGACAAGCTGTCATGTTTTCTTCTTCTACTGCATTTTCGGAAGGCAGTCTCATGGCAGCTAACTTTTGATCTCTGCGTCCCTCTGATTGCAGCTATTCACTCAAGGACCTCATGCGTCTCGGGAAGCGTGGGAAGGTAATTGGTGCCAAAGGCGCTGGCGCAACGATCGGTATCACCGGAATGGTAGGTGCCAGCGTAAAGATGTCGGGCGCAGCCGTGAGGATGTCTGAAACTACCGGCACTATGTCCGTGACCACCGTGGGGATGGGAATATCAGGAATGACAGGCAATATATCAGGGATCGCCGTCAGGACATCGGGGATCCGTGTCAAAATATCGGGGACCACCGTCAGGACATCGGGGATCCGTGTCAAAATGTCAGGAATCACTGTCAAATACGAATCAGGTACACCTGTGAAAGCATCAGGGATCATTTGTATCGGGTCGACCAGGGGCAGTCCTCCCTTGAGATCGTAAGCATCAGGTCGAATTGATGGAATATAGGGTTGGAAGCCATCGTTGACATGGTGAGTAGGGTAGGTCTCATCAATTGAGTCGACGTCTTCGATCAAGTCGTCTATGTCAGCCGGATAAACCTCGTCAGCTGAGAAGCCACCTACTGGAAACTCATAGGTCGGAGTCACAGAGCCACCGGTGTACCCCCCCATTTTGAATCGCCTGGGTTGTACTATGATCGTACATACTAGCTGTACCGCTGTCTTTAGCAGCTGCATAGTTACTAGGGTATGCTGTAGCACTCGCGATCCTTTCGCAGTCGTATGCCGTTGTCTGATAGGTACCTTTACCCGAAGTGACATCGCAAAGAACACGGAGCACCTTACTAAGTGCCTCGTCATCGTCACCATCGTCGTCACTGTACGCTGCGATGGTGTTAGCCTCGTTGACAGAAGTGGACGCCGTCTGAGGAAACGTGCACGCCCACGTATCGTCGACCACCTCAACGCACTGAGCGTCGACAGGAGCAACGCACACCAATCCATTGTAGGACAGCAGGTATGGCTGACAGCCAGCCGACGCGATGTCTCCGGCCTTTGGACAGCTCGTTCCGCCATCATTCGAGCATGGTAGGCCACGAGATGCTGGCAGTAGATACATGGCGTCGTGCTGCACGAAAACTGACATGTGGGCGGATGCACGAGCCGCCGCCAGAAGGCCGGCAAGGGTCAAGCTGCGTGTGGTCATTGTTCGCGTTGGAGAAAGGTAGTGAACTGTTCACGAGGAATTGGAGAATGAAATGAGGAATACGATAAAACGAGTGCTCATGTAGATCAAAGTTTCGTATCGGACTCGACTTGTAGCGGTGCACGTGATTGCATTGTTCGTGAAGAAATGGGCTTTATCGTGGGTCTTTCTCGAAACGACATGTAGGTCAGTAGAGTTCCTCGTGAAACGATTCTTGAGGTAGACATGGCTCGCAACATAATGTGACGGGATGGCTTTAGAAGCGGGGAAAGACCCCGTCAGGCTACGGTTTTCATCAAAGCGGTCACGGTTTTGTATCCGATAGCACATGAACGGATTCATTTCGTTTCGTTGAAACTGATCTGGGTGCTGCAACTGTCTGATAAGGACTTCACGAAGTTGGTGCTAGCTGATACGGCGGAGCTCTTCGACATCTTCCGCTGGGTCCCTTTCGTCTAGTTTACTCACGGCAATAATCTATATCGAATCGCGTTCCGTATAACACGTAATCGAGATCCTAGATCTCTTACTCAGATCCCTTGTGTTGCGAGCCCATAGACTCAAATCTACCACTGTCTGGACGCACAGTGAATGACGAACGACTCAAAACCTTCTGTCTGTCTGTCCGTCCGTCTATTAGGCTAATTGTGCCTTGCACGTCGAACCAAATGCGATGTAGCATGACCTCCAGAATGTAGGTTGAAATGCATCACAGGTGCAGCTCTATCATTAGGTTAGTCACACCCACGCACTAATGCCCGCACATGATTAACTCAAAAGTGACCAAGGGTGACCAAGGGCGGATAGACGACTGACAAGCAAATGGTCGACACTGAAATGGCGGCGAAAGTCTCGCACCTCCGGCTACCCGTATATGTGAAGCGGTTTTTATCTTACTTCCTACGATACTTAATAGTAAGTGGGCTTCGGTACCTTTATTCGCCTTGTAGCAGACGAGGCTACCGCAATTTCATTTTCTTTATCATATTTAAATAATTTGTCGTCGGCTGCACTTTTTGGTTGACTGTGGTACCAAACATAATCATCTTCCGTCCTTCGTTTCTCATTTTTGTCTCTTTAGAACATCAACGACATCAGCGAGTATATTTACGCACAACGATCATTCTGTACTTTCATTTTGTAATGCACGACGCACAACCCAATCCTTGGTCGTCACCCAACTATAATGGAACGTGGATGCACAAAACTTACTTCGATTCCTTGGACTGAATTGCTTATGTCATAAAGCGATCTTTTAAAGCTTGCTCCCCTATCTAACAGCAATTAGAGGGTACGCTAATGCTCAAATTCTTCTCAAGAAATCAATTATTACTACCGTATTAAATCTTATAGCTAATTAGAAAGCAACCTTCATTCTACCAATTTAAATAAATGTTCATGGATATTTTTCGAAGAATCGAGGAGGACTGGCTGAGAAGAAGCACATTTTGATGTCATTGGGAGACGTCACGAGAAAAGGTTCCTAAACCTTTTAGAAGATCCTAAGAAGATCGAAGGGTGTTCATTGGTCCAGATAAATCAATGGGACTGATATAGTTTGTCTAAGTATATGACATGAGTGGATTAGAGGTAGCGAAGCAAGTTTGCGAACTAAGGACCATAAATATATTCGCTTCACAATTTGCCTTCACCTACCCACAAGAAAATTAACAAATTAGCAGTCGCAGAGAGCTTCAAGACCACCAGTCGCCACGACCACCATGACAAGCAAGCGATGTGAGGTCCTCCTGGGTAGTGAAAACTTCTACCACCGGGAGTATCACATGCGCATGACGTTGGCGCGCAAGGGGCTGCTCGTGCACGTCCAAGTCATCAAGAAAGAGGAAGAGATGACTGAAGCCTGGCTGGAAAAGGCGCTAAGGCATTGGGCATCATCTATCAAGGCATAGAGCTTTGACACCAGACCAAGATACGATCGGCAACAAAAGCTTTGCACGCGCGGTAATCTTGCGGAACTTCTACAACTGCGGCACGCTCCACAATCATGTCGAGATGACCCGTTGTCGACATGAGTTTAAGATGGAGAATGGTTCGGCCATGTCGAAGCGGTTGGATGCTTTTGACGAACTTGTTGTCGTTCTTCAGACATTTGAAACGCCGTTCGATGACTCTCGGCAGCGAGGAAAGCTGCTTAGCAGTCTACCGACGGAGTATGAGCTCATCTTGTCAATTGTGGAGAATTCTAAGGACATCACACTCATTAATGTCAAGGAAGAACTGCTAAAGGAGGGTGAACAATCGCAAAGGAATGAGACGACGGAGACGGTGTTTCCGGTAGGCAGAAACGGTAGACGGTTCAAGGGAGGCCTAGGAAGCGGCCGCAAGGGAAACTATCTACGAAAAAAACCACGCTGGAATCAAAGGCATGTGCTTTAAGTGTCGCCAAGTCGAAAATTACAAGCGGGACTGACTGAAGAGTAGCAATGCCGAGAAAGAAGGTGCTGTTTTTGCTGCTGGTGAGTTGCGATGCGAAGAATGGCTCATCGACGGTGGGGCTACATCGCCCATGACACCACATCGAAGCGATACATTTGAGAACAAGGAGTTAAAGACTGGTCAACAAGTCTCTATCGCGGATGGCAAACGCTGAAGGTAGCTGGAGTGGGAACAATAAAGCTAATAGGTCTGAACGGCCTACGGATCAAGATGGTCGAGGTCCTGTACATACCAGGATAGACGATTGTTGTCAGTTGGCAAGCTGGCGAAACGAGGCATGAGAATGGAGTTTTAAAGCTCATCCTGCATCATTTGGAGAGCCAAGCGCGCGATTGCAAGCCGCAAGAAGGTTGGCAAGGCGTACTTTCTGAATTGCGAGCAAGAAGAAGCCCGGCTTGTGGAATTCGCAGGGACTGAAAGTGATTGGGAGCTTTGACACGCTCGCTTGGGACACCCGGAACGGCTGTTACGGACAAGACACAGCGCGCTACGAGCGGTATGCCGGCGGTAGAGCAGCACGTCGAGAAGTTGTGTAACTAGGTGAATCGTTACATAACAATTTAAAAGAAATTGTTAATTGAATATAACTATAAGAGTTATATTCTCAGAATATTGTCATAAGGACAAATATCTTGTAGCACTTACGAATAGTTCCTAATTGGTTGATATAGGCCATTATATCAACCAACGAAGACGCGCCACGACAGACGCACGCAATGAGTGGTGAGCAGATAACTGATTTACATATTTGTATTCAGACATAGTTAGATGAAGATAAATAGTGATTTATTGCAGACATTAACTATACTAAATACAGTTGTACTTTTTACTCTAACCAAGTACTCGCTTCTTCTTACCGTCTTCCTCTGCACGTACGAGTGTACGTGAAGTTACGAGGCACCGCCTTATTCTGTCATCAGAATAAGTAGCTTGTACTGTCACCAGTACAAGCTTCAGGGTGCCCCGTTACACCTGGTAGCACTTCGTAGTCCGTCCAAGGACCACGTTCACATCCAACATGAATATGTTGGATGATGAAGATGACCAAAGCTTTCACGCTACGCGTGACGGCTTCTCCCATTTGAGCGATGTCGAATGGGATGCGGTTGAACGGATAGGTTCAACCATGGGCATCCATGCTGTTAGCGTCATGCTAGAGGCTCTCAATAGAGATGCCCAACATGCTACTATCGCCAAGTTCATTCAAAATGAACTTGACGCAGAACGCGAGAAAGTAGCCTTGCTTCACCAACAAGGTTCTCAACAAGCAGAGTTATTGAGAGAACAGGGTGCTCAATAGTTTGAACTGTTGAGACAGCAGCAGGTTGCTGCTGGTGGGTCGATGCATTCGCGTCGACCCGAAACCTTGAAGATTGACATCTCCAAGTATAGAGGAGTCGAAGAGGACTCCCTCTTGAGATGGTTCGTCGAATTGGATGACGCCATAAGGGCGCGTCGCATCGACGACGGGGATATGCAAGTTGCATTTGCCCAGTCAAATCTGGCAGGACGTGCCAAGACTTGGGCACTGGGGCTCAAGCTGCACGACCCATACGCGTTTGGGTCGTTGGAAGTCTTCAAGTCGCGGTTCAGACAAACGTTTGAACCGCCTAGAGCTGAGTTCAGAGCTCGAACCGAACTCTTGAAGCTCAAGCAGGGTAAGCGTGATGTGCACGCTTACGCTCAACATATACGACATCTCACGAGTTGTATAAGTTCCAATCCGGTGGATGAACACACGTTGGTTTCGGTGTTCATGCAGGGTCTTGCGGATGGTCCCGTCAAGACTCACCTGTTCCGGCTTGAACTAGATTCACTAGAACAAGCCATTTCAATTGCGGAGCAGGAAGACTTCAGTCTGAGACAGGCTCGCGCCAGCTCGACATCATATCGTCAACCGAGACGATATGACAACGGAGGTCCAGAGCCGATGGAACTCTGTTATGTAGAGAGCGAGAAGGCTCGCTCTACAGGCTACAAGAAGTTGCAGAGATGCAACAGATGTCAAAAGACAGGACACTACGCTTACGAGTGTAGTGCCCCTCGTCCAGTGTCTCGCGACACTGGGCGTAGTGACCGCCCACCCATGAGAAAGGGGCAGGGACGAGGGTCCGCAGTTGGTGCAAAGACGCAACAACGGGATGGACCGTCAAAAAACGGACAGGATCAGTAGGTGCGGAGCACCCTAATGGTCTAGCAACGTCAAGAAAATTTGTAGGCTTCTTGATGAAGGTTGCTCCCAACACACAAACGTTGTGCGTTGCTGCTCTAGGTAATGAGGTCTCACTCATTACCTTGAAACTCGAAGTGACGAATAAGTTGTCCCTTTGAGCTTTAGTCGATTGTGGGGCGTCCAACAATTTTGTGCGACGCCAATCGCTAGAAGATGGTCACTTTAAATTCAGTGAATGTGACACACCTCCTACGAGGATGACGGTACGCCTTGCGACAGGCGCATCCGTAACCGTCATGAAGCGTACATTGAAGATCCACTATACACTAGAAGATACCCAATATGATGATGACTTTGACGTATTGGATTTGGATGACAAATTTGATGTCATCCTTGGAATACCGTGGCTCAGAAGGTACGAACCACGGGTAAACTGGCAACATCGAACAGTAACGATGCCTGCCGCTTGTTCATCAGATTGTCATCTGATGAACGTTTTGGAGCGTCCACAAGCGTGTGGATGTACTACGAGTGAGTGCGATGGCCTCACTTGTGGTACGGTCGTTAGTACGACTGCATAAAACCTTAGTGTACCAAACAATTACACTTCGGAGCAAAGTTCCGGCGGCTGTGAGGAAACACAGGCTGCGCCGAAGGTCCACCACTCGAATAAGTCGGGTGGACTGGGACAAAGATGTATCCCTAGAGGGGAACATCTAGAAGAGAAACAATCGATCGCTCAGGTTAAGCGAAACGATAATCCTAGATCGACTGGAGAGTCTTTCGTAGAGGATCTCGCTGTGGTTGCGCAACCCCAGCTAGAGGAAGTTAAGGGAATAAGTCCCAAGATTACAAATACGGCGGAAATAAGTTCCCCGAAACCCGCGGGAATAAGTCCCTGGGAAGCCGAAGGAATAAGTCCTTCGAAGCCTGAGGGAATAAGTCCCCAGGAAATGACAGAGACATTGAATGTCATAGTCAATAACGGATCAAGTGTAGGCGCTTATACACTTGATCTGATTGCGCCTCCGAAGTTAACTTCGGAGATCACTCAGTTGCCAACGCTCGAACATAAAAGGTTCTTGCGTGATCTGCGTAGTGGCAAAGTCAAGCAGATCTGCGTACTCGTCGCTGACTACGAGTGTGTAACCGACATAAGGTCAGCAACAGTGTTTACTGAGAACGAGAGAGTTCTCAGTAGTTCATCTATGGACGAGAGTGTCCTAGATGAAAAGACACGAGTTAAGCGATATGACTCCCAATCATGGGAATCGCTCAAGAAAAATCCTCTCTATGAAGATTTGGTTGAATTCAAGAATGTATTCCATGAAACTGTTCCGTGCGAATTACCGAAGGATAAAGGTATTCGACACGAGGTCGAGCTTAAACCAGGCTCGAAGTACTGTGTCATGAAGCAGTGGCCACTGCCTCGTGAACAAGTACTTGCGATCGACAAGTTCTTTGCCGATCGTTTAGCTGCGGGCCATGTGAGGGAATCAACTTCCCCACATAGCTCTCCGACCTTCTGTGTGCGAAAAGCAACAGGAGGGTGGCGGATAGTGCACGCGTTCAACAAATTGAACGCTGCAACGGTACCGGCTCAGACGCCGATACCGAGGAAGGACGTAATCATTGATGGCATGTCAAAGAGTACCATATTTTCGTCCATGGATTTGATGGATGGCTTCTATCAGATCCTTATGCGGGAACGGGATATACCCTATACCGCAGTTAGCACGCCTAGCGGCATGCTCTGGGAATGGCTAGTAATGCCACAAGGGCTTAGTAATGCCCCTGCCACGTTCAAAAGATGTGTATCACATCTGTTGAGACCAGTACGAGAATTCGCGCCGAGTTATTTCGATGACGTATTCATCCATAGTCGAGCTATGGATGGAAAGTCGGACGTTGAGGTTCACAGGTACCACGTCCGACAGGTTCTTACAATCATGCGAAAGCATCAATTGTATGCTAATCTCAAGAAGTGTATATTTGCTGCAAGCGAAATACCACTTCTTGGGTGCATCGTTGGTAAGAACGGTGTACGTCCTGATCCCGAAAAGATCAAGGCGATCACCGACTGGCCTGTGCCGGTTGATGTCAAAGGTCTTCGAAAATTTCTTGGGCTAGCGGCGTATTTGCATAAGCATTCACGCAATTACGCCGAGATGACTGTGCACCTCTCTCGTTTGTTGAAAAAGAACGAGAGATGGTTATGGAACGCTGAATGTCAGTGCTCTTTTGATGGTATCAAGCTCTGCTTGATACAATCCCCAGTCCTAGCAATAGCCGATCAGGACAGGCCATTTCATGTGGTCTGTGATGCCAGCGATTTCGCAATTGGCTGTGCATTAATGCAGTACGATCTTGAAGGCGTTGAACGCGTCGTCTGCTATCAGTCGCGTCAGCTGCAACCAGCTGAGCGGAACTATCCAGTGCATGACAAGGAACTCCTTGCCATGAAGTATGCACTCGCGAAGTTCAGAGTCTATCTATTAGGAGATAGACCCTTCATTGTTTACACTGACCATGCGTCATTACGCACGGCAGTGAACAGCCCGCACCTTTCACAACGAATGGCACGGTGGTTGTCATTCTTTGCGGAATACAACTTTACGGTCGAGTACAAACCAGGACGACTTAATGTCGTCGCGGATGCACTCTCACGTCGTCCCGACTTTGAAACAGTCGCGAAACCCAACAGTGAGACAGTCACTGTTGCGGTTATGACGTCCTCAGTCCCATCTACAACGTTGTATGATGAAGTGAGGCGGGCATACGCCCAAGATGGTGAGATAGTGAAGTTGTTGACACATCTCTCCCAACCATCTCGAGAATCGTTGAAACGATTGTCGCCTGCGTATCGATCTGCATCAGATCGATACACTACTCGTAACGGGTCTTTGTATAATACAGCCGTTTCTGGTGACACACCAAATGTTGTCATTCCAGATGATACTGATCTGCGTTTGCGGATCATGTTCGAGTATCACGATGCTCCTATAGGAGGACATCGTGGCCGAGAGAAAACATATCTCACGGTAAGTCGAGACTTTTACTGGACCCGCCAGTATCAGTTTGTGCGAAAGTATATTCGCGCATGCGAAGTCTGCCAACGAGTGAAGTCAAGTCCTTCACTGCGTGCACCTTTACAGCCTCTACCGGTTCCGGCTGAGTGCTGGGAATCCATCTCAATGGATTTCGTCTTCGGGTTACCCAAAGACGCACGCTGGAATACGGGTATTCTCGTATTTGTTGACAGATTCAGCAAAATGGTACACCTTGTGGCTGTACCAGAGACAATCACGGCAAGTGGCTGTGCTTGTGTCTTTATCGACACCATCTTCCGACTTCATGGGTTGCTCCGTGAACTCGTATCAGACAGAGATCCACGCTTTGCTGCTGATTTCTGGCGTTCCGTGTTCAAATCACTCGGAACGCGCTTGAAGATGTCAACATCTGATCATCCAGAGTCAGATGGTCAGACGGAACGTGCCAATCGTGTCCTTGAAGAGATACTTCGAGGATACGTACACTCCTTTAAGAGTTGGAGTGAGTTTTTGCCGATGGTAGAGTTTGCCATTAACAACTCGGTGCATGCGTCCACGACACATACACCGTTTTACGTGAATGGCTTGCGCCATCCGCGTGTACCCACCTTACTAGAGTGTAACTCTGGTTTAAGGGGGGGAGGGACTCGCGCGAGCAAAAACCGATTTGGTTCACGCTCATCACGCTCTGACGAAGAAGTCATTGCGTTTGATGCCGATATCGATAACATCGATATCGAAGAAGATGATGCCAGCGAGAGTGCGGAAGCCCTCACTGAAGAAGACGATCCCAGTGAGAGTGCGGAAGCCCTCACTGAAGAAAAGGTTGATGTTGCTGCAGTGCGCTCACAGCACACTGAAGCTAACGAGTCATCAGATGAGTTCATACTGGCTCGTGAAACGGTAGTCCGTTTTGTGCAAGACTCCATCGCCGAAGCGGTGGATAAGCAAAAGCAAAACGCTGACAAGAATGGAAGGGCAAACACTCTTTTATTTAATAAAGGTGACTTAGTCCTACTGTCTACGGTTAATCTACCAAAGCATGTAGTGACTAACTTGGGTAGCAGTAAACTACTACCCAAGTACATCGGCCCATTTCGTGTATTGCATCGCCTCGGCAATGCATACACGATCTAGTTGCCACGTAAGATGCGAACGCATCCCACGTTTTACGTTGGTCGGATTAAGCCGTATCATCATTACGCTGTTTCTTCCGATGAAGAACGCCTTTGCGCTTAAGCATCTCACAGAGAGCCTTGTGCTCCCGATGGTGGGCATCAACAAGGGTCTGAAGAGCGGTTATCTCATCCCGAGAACGATCAGCAATCCCACGAGCTACCCTTAGCTCGTCCCGAAGAGATGTCAGAGCTCTCTCGTTCTCAAGCTGAGCAAAGGCAAACTCAGCTCGATGCTTCGAGGCAGTGTCCGCCATTTGGAGACGCCTATCCCGCTCATGTTCGAGATCGTCGCGTAACCCTTGCGTTACGCGATCAAAGAAGCTCTCGGGAACACACCGACCCGCATGATCGTGTGGAGAGCGTCTTTCCTCCTCCTCCACCTCCATTAGAGGACTCTCGCGGTGGCCAGCGCTATCTAGTTGAGCAGCTGTTGAACCACCGCGACGTGAACGGACGTCGGACGAGTTATCTGGCGCGGCCATTTCACGTCCTGGGATACTTGGGAGCCCCGCTCCCAATTGATGGTTGACGTACTGGGCCTGGTTGAGCAGTACGACGCGGCACATCCTGTGCCGCAGAAGGACCGCCGGAGAAAGTCTTCACGGCACGGTCGTAAAGTAATTTCAAGTTGTCAATCCCTTCGTACATCTCAATAGAGACACGTACGCGCCACCACGGGCTATTAGGGAGGTAAGCCTCCTTAGGTGCTCGTGCAGAGTTGCTCACACAACATGGGCACGAGTCTCCCCAAGAGAGGCAGGGTAATCCCTTCTATCTTGACAGACGATGCAGCTTGTAGCGTGCACCTGTCGGGGTTCGCTTTTCAAACTTATCACGAGCTTTGATAAGTTTGTCGTTCCAAACGTCACGACCTACATCCTCAAGGTTATGGATGTAGGCGTTCCACGCTTGAAGTAGTGAGGGACCATCACGCTTGTGATTCCCACTGTACCATCGATGTCTAAAGAAAGCATCGATGAAGAATTCGTTCTCAGCGCGATAGTCTTTCGCACTGGGGTCAAGGTGATGGACCCTTGATGAATCGAACAATCGTGTTCGATAGCGATCACTTGCAGTCGTCGACAAGCGATCCATGACTGACTTTGGAGGCAGCCATGCTTTCTTTTCGGGAGCGAGACGCAACACGCTGCGGTCCCGATCTTCCTGTGACGTGCCGACAGAAGTACTGGTACCTCGCTGCGAAGTGGTGTCAACAGGAGAACCGACATCACTGTTAGCGCCCGAGTCTCGCGACCTCGAGCGCCTTCGCTTCGGCGATGGTTCATCTGATTCGTCAGATGAAACAAAGATGCTACGACGCAAAGCATCGTCCATGCCACGCTTGGTAGGCGGCTTGGATTCGATCGCCGTCGATACGGATCCGTCTTCCGTATCAGGAGAGTACGAGACACCGAGCTCGTACTCTGTGAAGACATGAGTGTCTTCATGACCAGCGTCTGCATCACCAAGTGACACAGGCTGGGTCGCTTCAGCAACCGATGAGGCATCAGTTGCTGTGGTTTCTGCTTCGGCGTCCGCACAGAGACGTGCGGACGTGCTCTCGGCGGCCTTGCTCGCGCATCGCATGGGCTTGTTAACCATGCGATGATATGTTGGGAAGTGGACATGGACCAACAAGTGCAAACCCTGTCCCAAATGATTTGGGACGAGTATCCTTTTAGTCAATCAGTCACTAAAGTGACTGATGGTTAAGGGGGGGGTGATGTAACGGGGTGAATCGTTACATAACAATTTAAAAGAAATTGTTAATTGAATATAACTATAAGAGTTATATTCTCAGAATATTGTCATAAGGACAAATATTCTGTAGCACTTACGAGTAGTTCCTAATTGGTTGATATAGGCCATTATATCAACCAACGAAGACGCGCCACGACAGACGCACGCAATGAGTGGTGAGCAGATAACTGATTTACACATTTGTACTCAGACATAGTTAGATGAAGATAAATAGTGATTTATTGCAGACATTAACTATAATAAATACAGTTGTACTTTTTACTTTAACCAAGTACTCGCTTCTTCTTACCGTCTTCCTCTGCACGTACGAGTGTACGTGAAGTTACGAGGCACCGCCTTATTCTGTCATCAGAATAAGTAGCTTGTACCGTCACCAGTACAAGCTTCAGGGTGCCCCGTTACAAGTTGTTCAGTGGATACATAAAGGTCAAGCAGAAGTCGATACATTCCCGTCTCAGTCGCTAACAAGGACATCACGTGTGTTAAAATTGGTACACACGGACATGATAAGACCGATGGAGACGGTCTGAAAGGGTGGTGCACGATTCGTATTGACATTCGCAGACGATTACTCAGGATTCGTGACAGCGTACTTGATGAAACAAAAGAGCGAGATGGCCGCAAGACTTAGCGAGTTCAAATCATTTTACGAAAATCGATGGGGCAAGCACTTGAAATGTATACGGTCTAATAACGGGACGGAGTTTGTCAACAAGAGGATTGCCATTTTATGTGACCGTAATGGTATCATGCTCCAGCGGACAGTACCATATAGCCCGCAACAGAACGGCGTTACGGAACGCATGAATCGCACGATCATGGAGAAGGCAAAAAAGCATGCTACTACAAGGGTGTCGGCACGCAGTGGTGGGCAGAGGCGGTTAGTAAGGCTGTGTAGTTGATGAACAGGTCCACAAACTCTGCGGATTCGGAAGTCACACCGTTCTAGGTCGGTTTCAAGATGAAGCCGAGTGTTGAGAATTTGCGTGTGTTTGGATCGCAAGAGTATGTTTACATTGACGACGAAAAGAGGACGAAACTCGAACCAAATAGCTACCGGTGTATGTTCCTCGGGTATGCGGAGAACATCAAATGATACAGGGTGTTTAATCCGGAAAATTGGATGGTTGTCATATCGCGCTCCGTAAAGCCGTACGAGCGGGAAGTAGAAGGCATGTACGACAAGGTGGTACCAGAGAAAGAGCCTGTCGTCAAGCATATTATGGATACTGAAGAAGCAGTGATTTCGGCGGGTAGTCCGTCTGATTGAGGCGAGACGATGGAAGATGTCGAAGAAACGTTTCCTCATGTCGAGATGGACAAGATGGAATCGGCTCCATACAAAACAGGTATCTTCTTACCTCATGTACTCGATCCAGAAACTCAAGAACATAGAGGCGATGAGAAAACGGAATATCAAGTGCGAGACAAGCTTTTAGGAAAACTGGTTGGTGTTTCATCCGGATATAAATCGTTCAAGACGCTCACGAGACAGAATGCTGCTACTGGAGATTGGGAATAGCAGTGAAGAGACAAGTTAGAAGGTAGCGATGGACCACCTTTTCCAAAGCGTGCAATCATTGATGACGAAGGTCTTTTTCCAGAGGCTGTATTGGCCTAATCTGTATGTGTTGGTGAGGTGGACGACGCTCCATAAAAACAAAGTCAAGCGTTAAGAATCAACGACATTTGCAAGTGGATTTATGCGATGTAAGCGGAGCTCAAGGCGTACGCGGATAACGGGTACTGGACACTTGCACCAAAACGACAAGAAATTTGACCAATCAGTTGCAGTTGGATATTCGCCTAGAAGCGAAACGAGCGCGGACTAGTGGTGCGCTACAAAGCTCGACTTGTCGCAAAGGGGATTAATCAGAAATTCGGTGTCGACTTCGTCGAGAAGTAATCTCCCGTGGCAAACGTGAAATCGATCAGGGTCGTGCTAGCTATGGTGATGACAAAGTGGTATGTGACTGAGCAGCTGGGTGCAGACACGGCGTTCTTGATCAGTGATCTCAAAGAAGAGGTGCACATGGAAGTGCCGAATGGCATAGCTAATGCTGAGCAGATGATGTGCAAGTTGGATAAGGCAAATTGCGGTCTCAAGCAGACTGCAAGTGCGTGGAACAAGACAATCCATGCTGCATTCTTAAAATAGGATTTCGTAGCAGCGGAGCAGGTCAGTCTGTCTATATCAAGAGTCTAGATGACAACTACGCCTATGTGTGTCTCTACGTCGACGACATGATCATCGCCGCCAAAACCAGCAGTGGGATCCAAGAGGTCAAGACAGCACTCAAGAGCTCATTTCGGATGAAGGAGCAAGGCAAGGCTAGATTTTTTCTTGGCATGGAGATCGATCATGACCACAACTGCATTAAGCTGATGATCCGACAGACTCGATACATCTATGATGTTGTCAGCCGTCGAACCCAAGAGGACGCAAAGGCAGTGGTCAACCCATGTGAGTCCGGTATAAAGCTGTTAAAGATGCGATCACCAACGACTGATGTCGAGAGATCAAAAATGCAGTCGAAGCCGTACAGGTCACTGATCGAATATTTGCTCTACATCACGACATGTACGCGCCCAGATGTGATACATATCACCACGCAATTATCATGTTTTTGGAGAATCCAGGTCAGCAACATTTGGAGACAGGCGCTCATATTCTCCGGTATCTTAAGACGACAAGAGACTACGGGTTAACCTATGACGGCAGCGCTAGAGAAGTTACAGCTACAGCATACACGGACGCGGACTCGGGTAGCCACATCGATGATCGGCGCTCAGTGTCAAGGATAATGGTGATCATCGGTGGCGCACCAGACATATTCAAGTCCAAGCATCAACGCACGGTGGCTCTAAGCTCTGCAGAGGAAGAGTACATGGCTTTATATGTACACAGAAAGTGTTGTAGGTTCGTGCGCTGCTCAAGGATCTAGGTCATGAGCAAGTGGGAGCAACGTGGGTCTGCTAAGGCAATCAAGGAGCAATTGGGCTTGCCAGTAATGCCGGATACAATGCCAGAACCAAGCACGTTATCATTTGTCACCACTTCATCCGGGAGATTGTGACCCATGACATCATCGTGGTTAAGTACATCTCCACGATGGACCAGTTGGTCGACATGCTGACGAAGGCTCTGGGGACGAAGCGACTGAAATATTCGATACAAGCAAGCAGCACTGGACCCAAGATTACTAAGCTGTAGCGGTGAGTGGGAGCAGAAGATAGCACCGTCTACTGCTTTTTAAGTTCATGGATATGTCTTGAAGAATCGAGAAGGGCTGGCTGAGAAGAATCACAGCCTGACGTCATTGGGAGACGTCACAAGGAGAGCTTCTTAAACCTTCTGAAAGATCTTGAGAAGATCAAAGGGTGTTGATTGGTCTAGATAAACCAGTGAACCTTCTAGAAGATCTTGAGAAGATCGAAGGGTGTTCATTGGTCTAGCTAAATCAGTGGGACTGATATAGTTTGTCTAAGTATAGGAAATGAGTGGCTTAGAGGTAGCGAAGCAAGTTTGCGAACTAAGGACCATAAATATATTCGCTTCACAATTTGCCTTCGCCTGCCCACATCAATTTAATACGTATAATATTTTGGAGCTAATTAGAAGCAGCAGTATGTTCCCAATTTTAATACTATGTTTGTAATCAGTGGTTAGACAAATTTGACAGGATAGCGGATAAATAACGATTCCTTGTTTCGAAGCACATTACATTAGCTTCGTTGACCCAACGACTCCGGGTATACAAATGGCACATCGCCTAGGCTAACTACTGTGTACATAACTACTGTGTACAGCAGCTCAATCAATCTCCTTGTAGGGGGCGACCTGCTTCTTGCTCACGTAGCAAGACAAAATGCACATCGGACTAACTCGTTTCTAACAAAAAAAAAAGAGCTACGGCCACAACGAGCATGTACAAGCAGCTGACTAACGAATTTGTAGCTACATGTGAGGACTTTTGTCTGCGAACCAAAAAAGGCTGTAAAGTGAATACACAAGTGCTTCAAATCGATGAGAAGGCCACGACGCAGCTTGGCTTCATCCGCAAATTTGACTTTGGTGCAAATAGTGCGTGGGTGGATTTGAATGAGATAAACACTGTGATTGTACTGTTCAAGCCAAACATCGTTTGCTATTGGAATTAACTTTAGACGAGACAAGCTGTCATGTTTTCTTCTTCTACTGCATTTTCGGAAGGCAGTCTCATGGCAGCTAACTTTTGATCTCTGCGTCCCTCTGATTGCAGCTATTCACTCAAGGACCTCATGCGTCTCGGGAAGCGTGGGAAGGTAATTGGTGCCAAAGGCGCTGGCGCAACGATCGGTATCACCGGAATGGTAGGTGCCAGCGTAAAGATGTCGGGCGCAGCCGTGAGGATGTCTGAAACTACCGGCACTATGTCCGTGACCACCGTGGGGATGGGAATATCAGGAATGACAGGCAATATATCAGGGATCGCCGTCAGGACATCGGGGATCCGTGTCAAAATATCGGGGACCACCGTCAGGACATCGGGGATCCGTGTCAAAATGTCAGGAATCACTGTCAAATACGAATCAGGTACACCTGTGAAAGCATCAGGGATCATTTGTATCGGGTCGACCAGGGGCAGTCCTCCCTTGAGATCGTAAGCATCAGGTCGAATTGATGGAATATAGGGTTGGAAGCCATCGTTGACATGGTGAGTAGGGTAGGTCTCATCAATTGAGTCGACGTCTTCGATCAAGTCGTCTATGTCAGCCGGATAAACCTCGTCAGCTGAGAAGCCACCTACTGGAAACTCATAGGTCGGAGTCACAGAGCCACCGGTGTACCCCCATTTTGAATCGCCTGGGTTGTACTATGATCGTACATACTAGCTGTACCGCTGTCTTTAGCAGCTGCATAGTTACTAGGGTATGCTGTAGCACTCGCGATCCTTTCGCAGTCGTATGCCGTTGTCTGATAGGTACCTTTACCCGAAGTGACATCGCAAAGAACACGGAGCACCTTACTAAGTGCCTCGTCATCGTCACCATCGTCGTCACTGTACGCTGCGATGGTGTTAGCCTCGTTGACAGAAGTGGACGCCGTCTGAGGAAACGTGCACGCCCACGTATCGTCGACCACCTCAACGCACTGAGCGTCGACAGGAGCAACGCACACCAATCCATTGTAGGACAGCAGGTATGGCTGACAGCCAGCCGACGCGATGTCTCCGGCCTTTGGACAGCTCGTTCCGCCATCATTCGAGCATGGTAGGCCACGAGATGCTGGCAGTAGATACATGGCGTCGTGCTGCACGAAAACTGACATGTGGGCGGATGCACGAGCCGCCGCCAGAAGGCCGGCAAGGGTCAAGCTGCGTGTGGTCATTGTTCGCGTTGGAGAAAGGTAGTGAACTGTTCACGAGGAATTGGAGAATGAAATGAGGAATACGATAAAACGAGTGCTCATGTAGATCAAAGTTTCGTATCGGACTCGACTTGTAGCGGTGCACGTGATTGCATTGTTCGTGAAGAAATGGGCTTTATCGTGGGTCTTTCTCGAAACGACATGTAGGTCAGTAGAGTTCCTCGTGAAACGATTCTTGAGGTAGACATGGCTCGCAACATAATGTGACGGGATGGCTTTAGAAGCGGGGAAAGACCCCGTCAGGCTACGGTTTTCATCAAAGCGGTCACGGTTTTGTATCCGATAGCACATGAACGGATTCATTTCGTTTCGTTGAAACTGATCTGGGTGCTGCAACTGTCTGATAAGGACTTCACGAAGTTGGTGCTAGCTGATACGGCGGAGCTCTTCGACATCTTCCGCTGGGTCCCTTTCGTCTAGTTTACTCACGGCAATAATATATATCGAATCGCGTTCCGTATAACACGTAATCGAGATCCTAGATCTCTTACTCAGATCCCTTGTGTTGCGAGCCCATAGACTCAAATCTACCACTGTCTGGACGCACAGTGAATGACGAACGACTCAAAACCTTCTGTCTGTCTGTCTGTCCGTCTATTAGGCTAATTGTGCCTTACACGCCGCATCAAAGCGATGAAATTTGTCGCTTGTTGTGTCCGGCAGTTACGCTTAATGTACACTACACATCTTTTGTACGTGCGATGTAGCCTGTCCCCTCCTTCGTATCTGTTTATAAAAGTGTAGTGAAACTTATTTCTCTTTCGTATCTGTCTGTGTATAACGATAAATGTACCTTACAAGTAGCACTGAGTGCAAGGCAGTTTTTATTTTTTTTCCTTTTTATTGTTTTATAGTCGTTATCGGCATCAACGTTCGATTTAGTCACTGATCGCAACTGTGAAGTAGGTAACATTTATTCACGAATCAGCGCCTGCACGTGATTGGCTTAGAAGTAATTACAGACAGACACAGATGTCCAACGAGCAAATGCTAGACACTCAGGGGCAACGAAAGTCTCAAACCTTTCATAAAAAGTAAACATGAAGAGCTTTTGATATGAATTACTTAATTGCGAGCCCGAAGGGTGAATCTATTCAGTGAGTGTGTGCAAG